AGTCTGAAAATGTCCGAAAACTTTCGTTCCAACCTAATATGTCTTGCTGTTGATTATCGTTTCGGTATCGGAAATCCAGCGATCTACTGCATGGTTTTCGCGAAGATTATATCTGATATCAGTGAAAACTGGATAACCCCTTCGGGTTAAGATGCAGCTGTCGCTGTAAACCTCGTGGATTCCATTAATTAATGTACCCGAAGGTGCCTGTAACTATCAAGCATCTCATAATGCTTGGTTCTATCTCTATTTGTCACCGACCCATTCTAACAGAATGATCGTAAGCTTTCCTAAAAGTCACGTGCCTCGAATTCTGCCTGACGCGTTGCTATCTTTGGGTAGTTTTTATGCCCGCTCATGATGCCCTTCAAGAGCGAAAGCGCTGGTGTCATCGATTTATCTTGATTTTCTTTGTAGTAGCCTAGTTGGCTGCGAAAAAATTGGTTTATTCTTGCAGGTTGTAAATTCTCCTGCGCCTGTGGTAGTCGACTTTCATGCCGACTGGTGTGGACCATGTAGAGCCTTAGGACCACGATTGGAGGAAAAGGTTGGTCCCTAGATGTCAACTTTTTGTTTGTTTGATTTTTTACTACATCCATGTGGGAATTCGCGAGTGCAGGGGAAGGATGAGGGACTTAATCAGGTCGTAAACATTTTGAAAATATTCTACAGGGGCCCAAAATTTTGCCGGCCACTTGTTCATTTTTTATGAGATTAAAGTTCCTTCCTCTTTTGTCAAAAGCACGTGACCGCTTAAAATTTTTTATTCGCCTTTTTTCTATTGGTCATATACATTATTGATGTATGGAATTACCTTAGATAATGGGAAGAAATGGCGCAGTACTTATGGCAAAGATTAACGTTGACTCCGCTGGTGAATTAGCGACAGATTACGGTGTCACGGCCGTTCCGACAGTGATGTCGTTCAAAAATGGTGAACGCATAGGGATGTTCACTGGAATGGTAGATGATGATCAAATTGACGAGTTTCTGGACGAAGTTATTGATTCTTGAAGATTATGAAATATGAACTCTTGCCAAGCACCTAGATCACCAGTAGAAATTTCATAGTTTATAGAGCTTTGTTTCTTGAAATTACTTGTTATGCTGTATCACTGCTATATCCTCAACCAAATGTTGTTAACTCATATATCGGGTTGCTATGTGTATTCTCAAATATCCTCAGTATAAAATTCACTTCATATCGTTATGTGTAACAGCATGTCAAAGTCAGGAGAGTAGTATTAGTATCTGCTCCAAGACGAAGGCGGTCGCCCAAATAGGTTGAAAGCATGTAAGGGGCGCGCGCGCAGCATTGGTTGACAATCGCTTGCGCGAAGCGTGCGCGTCAGCCTTGCGTGCTTTCAACCTATTTGGGCGACCGCCTTCGTCTTGGAGCAGATATTAGGCTGTTGAATGACTACCATCTCAAACTAACATTTTGGGTTTTCAACTACAACAGACCGAGGATTGAAGGAAAGCTA